GTGTTATTTAAAATGTGTTGCTTAATTTCTAATTCTTTTATAATTTGCCAGTTATCTGTTTGTTACTGATTTCTATTTTACTTCCCTTGTGGTCTGACAGCATCTTTTGTAAAGAGCGTCGGGCCTAGGCTACTCTTCTCCGCTTCCCCTCCTGTGGGTGGCACAAGGCACAGGGCAGCAGGGCAGCAGGGCAGCACCCTGGGGTGAGGGATGGGGGAGGCGCCAGCACAGCTGGTCCCCACCTGGATGGAGGCCTCCATATCTCCTGCAGTAGTACCTTCTCTTGCTGCAGCTCCTGGCTGGGCCTCAGCTACTCTAGACAGTTGGCCTTAACTCTGAAATTAATTATTGCCCAGCCAGAGTGGCTCGGTTGAATGTCATCCTGTGTACCAAAAGGTTGCATGTTCGATCCTTGGTCAGGGCATGTATTGAAGGCAACCAACCAATTGATTGATGTTTCTCTCACACATCAATCTTTCTCTTTTCCTCTCACTAAGTCCTAGGGTGAGGATAAAAAAATAAATAAATAAATAAATAAAAAATTAAGTACTTCTTTCTCTTGGCGCTGACACATTATTTGGACCAGTCTCTTACAAAAGGACTTTCCATTGAGGAAAAGCATACAGAGATTGGAGTAAATTATCAAAGTAATTTAATTTTTTTAAGTTGATTTCAGAGGAAGGGAGAGGAAAGAGAGATAGCAACATCAATAATTAGAGAGAATTGCCGAAACTGGTTTGGCTCAGTGGTAGAGCATCGGTCTGCGGACTGAAAGGTCCCAGGTTCGATTCTGGTCAAGGGCATGTGCATTGGTTGCGGGCACATTCCCAGTAGGGGGTGTGCAAGGGCAGCTGGTCGATGTCTCTCTCTCATCGACGTTTCTAACTCTCTATCTCTCTCCCTTCCTCTCTGTAAAAAGTCAATAAAATATGTTTTTTTAAAAATAGAATTATTGATCAGGCTGCCTCCTACAGGCCTCATACTGGGGATCAATATTGCAACCTGGGCATGTGCCCTTGACCGGAATGGAACTTGGGACCCTTCAGTCCACAGGCCAACGCTCTATCCACTGAGCCAAACCAGTTAGAGTCAAAGTAATTTTAATGATGACACATTACATTTATTGTTTCAGTTAGTTCTCCCAACAATTCTATAAGTTGTATGTATTCTTGTTATACCTTTTTTTTTTTTAATAGATAAGGAAACTTATCTGGTTTCTTATCTGTAAGGAGAGGCCAGGGATGTTGCTTAAACATTCTACAATGCACAAGACCCACCCCACCCTGTAAACAATTATTGGCGCACAGTATCAACAGTGGAGGTTGAGAAACCTTGAGTCTAGCTTGTTCCATTCTGTTGTTACTGAGAAAACCTTATTGTCTCAGAAATCCTTCATCGGGATTTGGTTTCTAAGGCTAAGTGCCTCCTATCTGATATTTTATAGCTTGGCTCATTGACTCATTCTGGCACGTCCTATACCTTCACCTTATACTAAATGGTTGTTGTTTTTTGTGTTTTTTTTTTTTTTAGTAGAGTGGTACTTTTTCTTCCTGATATTTCTGAGAGAGAGGCTTGGTTGGCCAGCAGTTCTTGCAGAAGAGAACCTGGTGACAATCTGTTGCTGGCATCGTTGGCTTCCTAATCTATGTTTACATGGCACCAAAAACTGACACTTCCTGGTGCCAGGCTTCTTTTCTTCTCAGCACCCTGGCACTGTGGCAGGGAACACCTCCCTAGTCTCTTCACACATGTTTATTTTATAGCACAGCTGTTCTCCAAATGATGTTTCTTGAGGCATGCTCAGGGTGCTTCTAGAGCAGTGGATTGGAGCCTTAGCCATTTGTGTTACCAGTTGCAAATCCACAGCACTCATAAAGCATCTGGTATTTTCCGTAACTGTTTTCCTGTTCGTAGTTCTCATCTTCTTCCTCATATTTTAAACCTTTAGAATATGGGATTTGTTTCTTCCATTTATTTTCTACTTTTAGCAACTAGCATTTCGTTCATCATATACTGAGAAAGTCAATTTATCTTCTTCCATTTAGGGTTATATGCTTTTCTATGAGAAGTTGGAGGAAATAAATGATAAGGAACTAAAGTAATTTGAGAGAAGCTAGTGGTTAAAGGAAGATGTCAGCCATCTACAATAGATAAGCAAACCAGGGGAACAATTCATAAGCTCAGTGGAATTGAGCTAGGGTCAGAGTGCAACTGAATGATTTTGAGCTGGGAAACAGTAGATCTAGAATTTAAAAAATGGTTTTCATTATCAAGGAGGCCTATAAAAATAAGAAAGTCCCTATTAAGGAAGTCCCATAGGAACCTTCACCTTCTCGTGACCCAGAAGTTTAGCAAAAGTTTCTGATTAGATGTGATTATTATAAAATCTTCTGTAAATGTTAAAAGGAAGGGCATAGTCCTACCTGGGTAGCTAAATTGGTTAGAGCATTGTCCCGATATGCCAGGGTTGAAGGTTCAATCCCTGGTCAGGGCACATACAAGAAACAACAGGTGAATACATAAATAAGTAGGACAACAAATCATTGTTTCTCTATCTCTTTCTCTTTCCCTCCCTCCCCCTCTTTATCTCCCTCCTTCCGTGTATCTGTCTCTCTCTCTCTCTCTCTCTCTTAAATTAAAAATACAAAATAAAATAAAGGGAAGGATATATAAATATATATTTACCTAATTTGAGTGGTGTGCTACAGGGCCCTCAATAGGGGTGTGAGGTCAGTGGACTCATTGACAGCATCCCCCAAATGCTGTCTTCCTCAGGCCTTAGGAAAATCGTGATCATTTGGGTCTCTGTCTATGAATCTGTAAGATTGTAAAGAATATTTTGTTTGGGGGTATTGTTTTCTCTAAAATAGTATTTCTCAACCTCTATTTTATTATTACCCTTCTTAGAGCCTTCTTATGAGCCTTTTTAGACATTTTCCCCCTAATCATCTCTATTGTCATGAAATTTTAATATCACGGATGTGCTGTATATCTGTTTATCTACTGCAGTACATAGGAAGAGAACTAGCTATTGTACTAAGATTCCCCCGCTACCCTTATGAGCTAGTTTTTACCCCCATGAGGGTAATATTGCCCATGTTGAGAATACATAATCTAGTCATATCCTCATCTTGAAAATGAGCTGTTATAGTATATGTACTTTTCTCTGCAGTTGAAACTGGGGCAAAGGCACTATCAGTAAACTAATGTTAACAAATCTTCCCATGCAGTGGCCTGCAGCAATTAGAGAAAAGTAGGAAGAATCTTTTTCTCATATTTTAGGGCTTGTTTGCTCTCTGAATAATCTTTTGACCAGTTGAGCAAACAATTGGAAAAACACTAGGAGTAACAGAGCAATGAAGACAGTTCTCTAAAAGATAAGAAATAAAAGATAAAAAGATGACAAAATCCTTTGTAGTGATATGCAGAAATAGGTATAAAATTGTTCACTATTTGGAGACCAGTAAGCTCTAACAAGCTCAGTTTCTCAAAGCAGGAGTTGATTTGCAGCAGAACATAACATGTAGGTTGTCTAGCGTGCAAGAATGTTCTCCCAGGAGGGTTTGGCTCTTTCTGATCGGATGGGTGGTTGTGTACGGAATGCACCTTGGAAGGAGGAGGAGGAAATGACATGTTCATGTAAATGAAATACAACTGCAGATTAAAGTGTTACCCTGTTAAAAAAAAAATCAATTTTTTATTTAATTGGCTACCAAGGAAAAAAATGTCATACTGAAGTGTGTATCTCAGGGAAATTTAAACTGAGATGTTACAAGTGAATCTGGATTCAGAGAAGTTCTCGTGAGTGGGGTGGAAGTGTGGGTTATAAAATGTTGTCATAATAAAAATATTTTGATGCTGAGAAACTAAGCTTATAAATTTCTGCTGTGTTACATGCCAGGGGTTCAGAAGAATTAACAAATATTATCTCATTTTTTTTTTTATAATCTATATCCAGTCAGCTGTATAGTGGTTGTCTGTTCCCTGGAGGGAGCCTTCTTTTAAGATTTTTTATTAGGAAGAAGGTCATATACTAAGGAGGAGAAGCTTTTTTCTAAAAAGTGCTGCTTATTACAAAGACATCCAGAGACCAAACCATTTCTCTGTTAATGGTGTTCTCTCATGCTTTCACTCTTTGTTTTACTCTATTATTTTTTTTTAAATCCTTACCCGAGGACATTTTTCCATTAATTTTTAGAGAGAGTGAAAGGCAGAGAAAATTATTGATATGAGAGAAATACATCAATTGGTTGCTTCCTGCATAAGCCGAAATAGGGCCCTAGCCAGGGAGAAGCCTGCAACTAAAATATGTGACCTTGACCAAAATCGAACCTGGGACCCTTCAGGCCGCAGGCCGACAGACACTCTATCCACTGAGCCCAACCAGCTTGTTTCACATTTTTATGAAAATTCATGTCTCTTTAGATTGTGAGCTTACCAAATAGCGTCTATACAGTATCTGCAACATTGTTGGCACTAAGTAAATGTTAATTAATGGAAGGGAGCAACCCTGGCTGATATGGCTCAGTGGTTGAGTGTCCTCCTGTGCACCAAAAAGGTTGCCCTTTCAATTCCTGGTCAGGGCACATGCTTACTTAGGTTGTGGATTTGTTCCCCAGTTGGGTGATTGTGGGAAGCAGCCGATTGATGTTTTGTTTTCATATCAGTGTTTCCCTCCCTCACTCCCTTCTCCCTTCCTCCCTTCTTCCCTCCCCCCTCCATCCCTCTCTATCTAAAAAATCAATTTAAAAACATATTAAATAATGGGAGAGGGCTGATGAATGGGATTATATTTCCACATAAAATTGTTCTTGAGAAACATGTCTGATTTCTCTTTAAGACAGGGGCTTGACAGATGGGACTCACCAGCCTTCTTTAGCCCTAGTATGGTTCTTTCTCTTACCTCTCTCCTACTAATCCCAGTGTGGATTTACTAATGTTCTCAGTGGAAACATGTAGATAAACACTGTAATGGACTCTCTTGTCTTCTCTCTCACCAGGGGCAGTGATTGGTGATGGACAGTCTGCTGTGGCCAGTAATATTGCCAATACTACCTACCGGCTCCAGTGGTGGGACTTCACTAAATTTGACCTCCCAGAAATCAGTAATGGTAAGCCAAAGTAGAACTTGGGATACTGATGGATGGGGTATCTCTTACTGGTGAAACATAACTCAGAAACTCACGTAGCACCGGACTTTCCATCATCTCATTGAGAAGCAGATTGCCATATGTCTTTTTTGCAACTCTCAGTTAAGCAGTTCAGCAAACATATAACAGCAAACAATGCTAAGTACAGAACAAAGAACAGTGCTAAAGTGGATATAGAAATGAAGATGTCTGTACCCAGAGAAGCTTATTTACGAGTAGTTCATTGTTCTAAGCCTAGAAGTTAAGATATCTAGCAAGTATATCTAGGATAAATTCCTAGATATGGAATTGGAGGGAGGAAGAGTATGTATATTTGTGATTTTGGTAGATATTGCTAAATCGTCCTCTAATCAGGTAATGCCAGTTTATACTCCCAAGTACAGTTTATGAGAGTGCCTGTTTCCCTACACTCTTGTTTAGAATGTGTAAGCATATTTTTGGATATCTGAAAATATGATAGGTAAAAAGAATAGTATGTAGATGTTTTTAATTTGTATTTCTCATATTACAAAACAGGTGGTGGGCTTCTTCATACACTGAGCCATGCAGGTGGCCTTTTCTTGACTGTCCATGTACTTTCTTTAGCTGTTTTTCTGTTGTGTTCCTGGTCTTTTCCTTATTGGTTTTACAGGAATGCTTTATAGATGAGAAAATTCACATAATAGGCGTTTACTAGTTGCCATTTTTATTTTGACTTCGCTGAAGGTTATTTTTCTTCATAGAACTTACTTTAGGTAGTCAAAATTCCCCAACTTTCCTTATATGATTCTCAGATTTTGTGTCATCATTAGGAAGATCAGTAGTAATTTTATATTTTAGTTTTTTACTTTACCTCTTAGTCTTTGATTCACTAGGAAATTTAACCTAGTAATACCAAAGAAGCAGGGTATGATTTGACTTTTCCCTCATGGCTACTCATTTGTTCCAGATAATTTATAGAATAATCCATTTGCCTCCATTGCTTTGGAATGTTACTTCCATCCTATTAATAATTTTCTGGGTGTATTGAGATGTATTTCTAGGCCATTTTGTCCCAGTGATCTTTCTGATTCCTCATGTGAGAGTGCCGCATGGGTCTTTTAAATTTTGAAGCTTTATGTTTTAGAATTTGGTAGGACTCTCCTCTTGCTGTTTTTTTTAATTCAAATTTTCCTGCCTGCTCAAGCATTTTTGTTTTTCTGCATGGACTTTTAACTACTTGTTTTTCCCCCCTGAAAAAAACCTATTAGTGTAATTATTATGATTGTATTAACTTTGTAATTAACTTAAGGAGATTCAGTATCTTTATATCTTCCAGTGTAAGTATGTAATATCATTTCCAATTTCTCTTGTATTCTTATGAATGTTAAAAGTTTACTTCACTTGATTTTGTATATTTCTTAAATGTATTGTTACAAGTTTATTTTTTAAATCCTACAATCGTACTGAATCTGTTTACTAGTTGTTATCAGCTAAATCTCATGGGTTTTCTAGATGTGTTATCTATAAATAGAAAATTTACCTCTTCCATTCCAAGTTTTACACCTGTGATTTCTTTCTCTTGTCTAAATGCATTGGCTGCTATGATGAGAACAATGTTAGTAATAGCAAGCATCCTCATTGTTCCTGACTTAAACGGGAAAACATCCAACTTTTTCTCAGCAAGCATATTGCTGGCTTTGAGTTGAACTAGAAATAGTTTATTATTTTAAGGAAGTCGTCTATTCCTATTTTACCAAGAAGTTTGTGAGGTTTTTTAAAATCAAGAATATAAGATATTGAATCTAGTTATGCCTTTTGTGTATCTACAGAGATGATCATATTTTTTTCTCTCCTTTGATTTACTAGTATGATTATTATGTTAATAGATTATGTACTATTGAAACCATCCTTATAGTCCTTGACTAGACCCCACCTGATCCAGGATATATTCTTTAATGTTAAATTTCTTTCATGTAGCTTGCTAGTAATTAGAGGATTTCATCGGTATGAGATGAATCTCTCCCCCTTTTTTCTTTTTAATACTCAACCTGAGGCTATTTCTTTCATTGATTTTTAGAGAGAGAGAGTGGGAAGGGAGGGAAGAGGGAAGAAAGAGGGGGAGAGAAACACTGATGTGAAGGAGACACATTGATCGTTTGCCTCTTGCACTCGCCCTGGCCAGTGGCCGGGAATTGTACCTGCAACCAAGGTACATGCCCTTTACTGGGATTCAAACAGGAGGCCCTTCAGTGTGGTGGCCAGTATTGCAACCACTGAGCAAAACTGGCCCGGGTAAATCTGTCCTTTCTTGTTTCTAAAATCTATGGGTTTTGGTATTAGTGTTATGCTTGTGTTAAAATGTGGAGGTTTTTCTTCATTTGAAACAATTATAATACTATTGGAATTACTTATACTTTTAATACAAAGACCTGATGGTTGTTTTGCTTCTGTTTTTCATAAGCATAGGGAGAATTAGTTCTCTGATAATTTTCCTTGTCAACTGTACTATGGTGGTTAAGCAAATGAGCTCTTGGGTTACACTGTCCAGGTTCAAATCCCTGCTCAGCCACCTTCTAGCATTGTGACTTTGGTTACTTAATCTCTCCACACCTTGATTTCTTTGTCTACAAAATGAGGATAATAATGCAAATCTCATAGGATTGTTATGAGAATTAAATTAGTTAATACATGTCAAACACTCTAAGGTCAGTAAAGTTAGCTCTTTTTATCATATCTTTTTCTTGGGAATTGTGCCATGATTCTTTGAGAGTATGGCCTTAATTCTGAAGTCACACCTGTACTCTGAGGAACATGCTTTTCATCTCTGAAGCGTGATGTTTATGTAAATAAGATAGTTGCTTCTTTAACTTGTTGCCTCATTTGTAATGGGCTTCTGATCCTTCTTAAGCATGTTGTTTCTACCCAGTTGGAGATCATTTTCCTTGAGAGAAAAACAAAATATTCAGAAGAACAAAGGTATTGGATATGCTAATATCTCACCAGGCCTTTTTGGATGCCTTTAACATTTTTTGTACAAGCATCAGGGCATTGCAACTACAGCTTTCTATCGTTCTCCTTCTGTGTTCCTTTTTTATCTTGTGATCATGGGTCTTGTAATACCCGAGCTGATCAGGGAGCATTTTGTGTAACTAGGTTGATTCGTTTAGTTTAGCTCACCTTTCTCCCTCATTTAAATCATGTGTGGTGTTAAAATTCTGCTTTTTATAAGAGCCCTATTTTCCTTAGAGTTTTGACCTTAGGCAAAACCTGCATTCTAGAAGTTTGGGACACATAATGTCTGATGGGGTAGCCACGTTCCTTTTCATGGTATTACCCCCTAGAATGCTTATCACTCTCACCTGATTAATGATTTCCCATCATTAGCTTATAACTGCTTGTGTTTTGTGGTTGGTCTGAATAAAGTCTAGTTACGGTTTTGATCATTTCTCAAGTTAGGCTAGAGATTCTGGCCACCTGTTTCAGTTGGAATACTATCTGTAAAGAGATTAGAAGTTTGTGACTAAGACCTCAAATGCATAATTTTGAAACTGTTTTCATGGGTGGAAAATAATGACTCATTAGATTTACTGTGAATTACACTGTTTTTTGTTGTTATTTTTTTAAATCTTCACCTAAGGATATATTTTTATTGATTTTTAGAGAGAGGGGAAAGGAAAGAAAGAAACATAAATCTTTTGCCTCCTATATGCGCCCTAATCGGGCATTGAACCCACAACCTAGGTATATGCCCTAACTGGAAATCTAATCCACAGACTTTTGGTATACCGGTCGATGCTCCCAACAACGGAGCCACTTGGCCAGGTGAATTACACTTTTTAAGAGAAACTCTTACTGGGTAAATAGCATTGGTCATTAGGGTACCTTGAGTGGTATGGGGCAGATCATAGCACCAGGCCAGCACCGGGGCTTGGGGCGCAGCCTGAGGTCCCCCAGGACAGGGTGGGGGCATACCCTGAGGTCCCCCAGGACAGGGTGGGGGCACACCTTGAGGTCCACTGGCTTGGCTCCAGGGTGGAGGGCATGGCCTGAGATCCCCCTCATACCCCCACCGGGTGGTGGGTGCAACCTGAGGTCCCCAGTTAAGCCCCACTGGGAAGGGAGGGTTGTGCAGCCTCAGGTGTCCTGACCTGCCTGGCTTCACGCAGTTTCAGGTCCCTGCTGATTGCTTGTTATGGGAACCCTGCTTCCACTGTGGGCGCAGCCATCTTGTGTTACAAGAACCTCAGCCTCCATTGTGAGTGCAGCCACCTTGTGATGGCATGATGGCTAATTTGCATATTACCTCTTTATTATATAGGATAGATAGGAGGGGCTCAGAGTTAGCCCCTTCAGAGGAAATTTTCCTGCTGGTTTAAACCTTTTGGAAAGTATTTAATGTATTTGCAAAAGCACTGCAACTGCTAATCACTCCCATGGCCAGTCATCTGGCCAACCAGCAACAGGCTACAAATTGATCTTTGTAAAAGGTGTTTGTTTATAACTATGGAGTTGATAGGAAAGTAGAGCCATTTGCTCCTCCACCATCAGCACTTCTAACCCCTCCCATTCCTTGCTAGGGCATTTTCATTTGGAAATCATTTATAATTAGGAGAAGATTACATTGCAGTCTGGAACATGGTGGCTTCCTGCTGTCTTCTGCATTGGTTTTTTTTCTCCCCCTGGAGCTGCCCTCCTGAAGCTCTGAAGCAGTTTTGATTTGAAAAAGCCTTTCTTTCTAGCCTTTATTTTTGTTCTCTGCTCCACAGCTGATTGCTCCATCATTGTTCCTCACGTGTTTTTCTTTAAGTGCGGGCAGGTTGCTGGTGCTACAGCTCAGGGATCAAGGAATGTAGGTAAAGTATGGCCCCAAACCAGCATCAAGGACACCTGGAAAATTGTTAGAAATGCAAATTCTCAGTCCTTACCCTGATACTGTTTTAAATATATTTTATTGATCTTTTACAGAGAGGAAGGGAGAGGGACAGAGAGTTAGAAACATTGATGAGAGAGACATCGGTCAGCTGCCTTCTGCACCCCCCCTCCCCCCCGGGGATGTGCCCACAACCAATGTACATGCCCTTGACTGGAATCGAACCTGGGACCTTTCAGTCCGCAGACCGACACTCTATCCACCGAGCCAAACCGGTTTTGGCACCCTGATACGTTTTAAATAAGCCTTCCAGATGATTCTGAGGCAGGTTGGCGCTTGAGACCCACTGTGTGGTAAGACAAGTCTGCGAGCAGAACAAATATTTACAATGGTGTGTGGCTGCCAGTGTCTTGGGCTGCATTTCACTTCACCTTTTTCTCTACCTGTTTACGTTATTATTGAGTCTAAAAAGGATGAGGTATCCTTGTCATTAGTGCATTTCTTTCTATGGCACAAGAAAACTAGCAACAGATTTGAGAACTCTCTCCTTATATGAATTAACTCATCAAAATGTCAGCCTCCTGAGAAGCTGCACCAGTAAACTGCAGCATTGACCACTCACCATGTCACTGAGCATTTCCATTCCCGTATGGGAAATTAATAGACAACAAGCAGCAAATGTAAGTTGCTAATTGGAGCTTTGAAATAAAAATGAAGTTGTAAACACACCACCCAGTGCTCTCTGAAATGAAGCTACCAAATCACTGTGTGTCTTCCACATCCCTTCATTAGGGTAGAAGTGAAAGCGTGCACAGTTTCTGAAACATAGCATGCTGTTGGAGAAGCTGTTTTAGTTTTCAGCATTCTCTTCTCATTTTTAATTTGTAAATCTGTCTGTGAGCTCCTGCTGTTAGGAGCAGCAGTTGAGAAATTGGATGGAGTTGCGTGGAGGGGACCGCATTTCCAAGGTGGCCATTGATGTGGAATCATCATAATATAGTACAAACACAAACAAAGTGGCTCGGATTTGAGGCTCACAAACTGCTCTTTGTCTATATGCCATTTTTCATGGACCTAAAGCAAGCTTTCCAGAAGAAGGAAAACCTTACTTTGTACTTTCCTCCCCACTCCTGGCCCCTTGTAGAAATTAATATGGGAGTAAACAATTAATTCTCCTTCTATGTTGGTAGTGCGTTTTGAGGGTCATCATAGGCTCTGTCTGTTTGACTGAATTGTCAGTTAACACACAAATAGAAAAGGCCTACTTTCATAAAATACCCACCATGCATTTTTATGTGGATAAAATAGTAACTGCAAAGCTGTCTGTTTTGTCCACAGCATCCCATCTCTTTCCCTATTTATTTTCACGTCCTACTTAATATTTATGATTTCTTTACTTTGCTTCTCGTCCTGCTTTTTATGGTTATAATGTAAATTGTCAGTTTTTTATCTTTCTAAAAGTTGTGCCTACATCAAAGTTAGAAAACCGAAATGGATACACTTCTGAAGTTTCCCACTGTCCCTTTGGTTCTGTATCCCCAAATGGAATTGTGTGTCAATCCAGAAAAATAGGAGGAGGAGACTGTCATCTTTTTGGCAACAGGCTTGGGACCCTGAATAAGGAGCAGACGGCCTCGGTGCTAACTAGATAAATCTAGCCATGCAAGCTAGAGCAGATGGTGGGTTGGAAGATGAGCAGTACAGAGCCCTAATGGTGGCAGTGAGTATTTGAATGTCATTATTTTATTAGTTAGCAAACAGAACCATCCTTGTGGTCCCTCCTCAGTTTTATGCGTGATGGCGCTGTTGGTGTCAGCCCCAGAGAATTGGCACAATAGCCTAATCAATGTGTTCAGATGTCTTTTTTTATCTACTCTGTCATCTCTTACTTCATTAGTAACACAGGAATATGGGGATGAATATAGAGTTTTAGTTTTATCTAGGTCCCTGATTTCATAAGCTTCAAGGCCCCTGAAAAGTTTTTCTGTTTTGTTTTCCTTAAGGTAATTTTGTGGTGAAACTTGCCCTTGACCTCCCAAGTCATGTCTTTTGGCTTAAGATCACTTGGAATCTGGTGAGGGCAGCTGAGCTTGGCTTTCTTTCTTTTTTCCCTTTAACCATAATGCTCGGACAGCAGACGTCTAAGTAATCTTTGGATAAGAAGAGTAAAGTCTCTCTGCACGTGCATATAAAATAGACTTAAATGAGACAAAGCCCAAAGCAGCTAGGTCCCTTTGGATGTGTTGTGCTGTTTTGTTTGTGCCATTATATGGGCACTCTGGTTCCAGGCACACCTCAAGGGTAAGCCACTTCTTCCTGGTGGGGAATTGGAGAAAGATTCAAATAAAAACCAAAACAAAACTACAGGCATAGTTTGCTCGTGCAGAGCAGATTCTCCACCTGCAGACATTCCTCCAACACATACCCTCTTACACACACACACACACACACACACACACACACACACTCACATTAAAGCCTGCTGCCTGGTGGACCCACATGTAATTCTCAGTAACTGCCAAGTGCAGACTGGGGATGCCCATGGATATTTGTTTTTCTTTACCCTCATTTGTGGAATTAGGTAATAGTATCAGCCGGGGCCTCTTCAGAAGATTGGTATCTATAAATATTCCACTTCTCTTAAGTGATAAAGACACAAACTTGTGGAATGACTTCCTTCTTCAGAGTCACAAAGCTTGTGTGAATAGGAGCCGCACCCCTAAAAGGAAGTTTACCTGTATCACCTTTTTCCTGGAGTCAGTGGGTTTGCATTTCATTCATCCTGGTTTTGACCTTTTGGACTATAACAGCTGCTGAGTGGCTCTCCAGGAACAACTTATAATAACTTTTTCCTTATCTGATCTCTCAAATGATGTTTTCTAATGTGAGCTAAGACTCAGGAGGTAATTGTGGTTGTGTTAACTATTGAAGTTTCATATTAAAGTGGTAGAGGAGACATCTCTTTCCTGTCTCTAGTATTACTTGTACATTTGAGTTTGATTAAGCAGCCTTTAGCATTTCTAGAGAGGGTTCAGACCCCTTGGACCAGAAATATCTTTTAAATATATTTTTATCGATTTAGAGAGAGAAGAAGGGCGGGGGAGAGAGAAACATCTGTGTGAGAAAGAAACATGGGTGGGCTGCCTCCTGCATATCCCTTACTGGGGATCAAGGCCACAATCCAGGCATGTGCCCTGACCAGCGACCTCAAACAATGGAGCCACACTGGCCAGGGCTTGGCCCAGAATTTTCATCCCATCAACTACAAACATTTTTACCCTCTTTTCTTTCTTTGATGCAGCCTCCGTGAATGTGCTGGTACAGAACTGCAAGATCTACAATGATGCCAGCTGTGACATTTCTGCAGATGGTCAACTCCTGGCAGCTTTCATCCCTAGCAGCCAAAGGGGCTTTCCCGATGAAGGCATCCTGGCAGTGTACTCCTTGGCCCCCCACAACTTGGGTGAAATGCTCTACACCAAGCGATTTGGTAAGGGATAGGAAGCCCAAACTAGTGACAGAGGGATGCTGGTACCTTGGCATGAGCATTCCTAGGGGAGGCATGGTTTAGGTGGGAGTAATGGTCTTCACTGGGGCACAGACCAGAGGAAGATTGCTTTGCAGGAGTCCTGCCTGCTAGCATTGCAAAGAATCTCAGAATAAAAGGCCTCCCTACCACAATAGCATCAGTGATATGCTTCTATTGTGATGGCCAGGAGTAAGGGAGGAACTTTGGTCATGGCTTGGGAAGTGGGCATACTCATAAACTGTAAGGCAGTTTGGCATTGTATTAAAAGCTCCCAAAATGTATTTTCTCTTTGATCTAGTAATTTCACTTCTAAGGAAATAATAAGAAAACTGTACAAAGCTTTATATACAATGATATTCACAGTACTATTATTTATCATAGAAAAAAATATGAAATTGGGAAGAGTTGCTTAAATAAGTGATGTGCATTGATAGGACAGAATACCATTCGGCCTTTAAAATGTTCTTACAGAATATTTAATTATGGAAAATGTTCATAATGTGTGAAGTGAAAAAAATAGATTTCTAAGTTGTATTTAAAGTATGATATCAATTTTTTTTAAATGTGAATCTGTTATGGGTTCCATACAATGGTTAACATTTATTAAGTACTTCCTATATGTCAGACACTATAATCAGTACTTTACATTTTACTCCTCACCACAGTCCTATCTGTTAACCCCATAATGACCAAATAAAGATGGAGGCTGGAGAGAAAGAGAAAAGATTAAGAGGAAAAATTACTTCCTTGTAATAAAAGAATTCTGGGAAATGGTTCTCTCTTCTCTTGGCCCTCAGGTCCCAATGCCATTTCTGTGAGCCTGTCCCCAATGGGCCGGTACGTAATGGTGGGCTTGGCCTCACGAAGGATCCTGCTGCACCCCTCCACAGAGCACATGGTGGCCCAGGTCTTCAGGCTGCAACAGGCCCATGGTGGCGAGACCTCCATGCGGGTGAGTGTCATTGCTTGTGCCTCTGCTGTATGGCAGCTCTCCTAGGCTTGGCAGGGGAATGAAGGACAATGGGCGATCTCTGAGCCAGGACCAGAGATATGCTCCTAAAGGCATAAGGAAAGGCTACAGTTGGCATGTGCTGACCAACAGGCCTTACCTTTGGAAGCTGTGGAATATTAAAGGACAGGAGCTTTCTCACACCCTAGCTCATGAGCTGCGTTCCCAAGAGGCCGGAAAGCATTTTTGGATAAAGACCAAACTGAATACTTCCTTGTCTCCTCCACATGAGACTTTTAATGGAGATATATAAAGTGATATATTTAGCCTACATAAAACTTTTTTCCTTTTTTTTTTCTTTTTTAGAAATCAATCTATAAAAATACACCTATAAAGTGTTCTTTGCGGTGGATTGTAATCATGATGAAGACTTTGGGCAGCTGCTGTGCTCTTAACTGCCCTGCCATTTCAGTAGCAGAGGAAGGTCCTATTTAGGATCCTTCCTTGTCAGAGGTGGATCCCTTCTAAGCCTCTGGACTCGACTAGACTAGTTTCTGACTGAGTTTCCACATCCTATGGTGGCTCATTTGACCAGGGTTCTGTCAAGGGGAGTTTAGCATTGGAACAGTTCTCTAAGTAGATGGCATTTAAATTGTCTCAAGTTAAGAACCTGTGAATTCCCTTAGCACTTTGTATTGTGCCATTTATAGTTTTGTGCACTTGTTTGTGTATTGTTTTGTGTGGTGTGTATGTTTAATCCACCCAGTTAGGTTTAGCATAAGCTCCTTAGGGGCATATCCCCCAGGCCCCTCATTTAATGTTACTCTTACAAATGCCTGAAATTGGAAGCATTTGTTTTAAAGAAAAAACTAGAGATTAGACCCATTTTATGGTGCAGTGGCCTCCATTCTGGTCTTCATCTTCTCTCTTCTCCCTCCTTGTTTCTATAGGGATCTATTCAGTGCTGTTGAGCCTCTTTCCAAGCACCTGAATTTAATAAGGCTCTTTCTTGCTAGTGTGCCTTTACCTGGAATGCTCTCTTCTCCCTCAAATCCAACTGCCCACAAGCTCTTCCCCTTCTGTGGAACCTTCCTAAACAGAACTGATCACTCCATGTGCCACCACCATACTCATGGTAACACTCATCGTACGACACTGCAATTATTTGTTTCCATGTTACTCTCCTCTCGGGCTGTGAACTCCTTTGAGAACAGACAACTTGTCTGTTTTATCTTTACGTAGTCTGCATACCTAATAGGGAACCTGACATTTAGGAGAAACAATGAATGAAAGAGAGTCTTAAGAAAAGTGTCCTCTCTACTCTTGGCATCATAATGACAGGAGAGTTCTGATTCTTGGATTCCATAAAAACAGAAATATTTGACATTGAGTGATCAGGAGAGGACTTCATCAAGTTTATTTTCTTATCTAGATATTTGAGGATGGAGTTGAATTTTAGTTTACATGTTCTTTATTTTGCTTATTTTAAACATATTTGGATGGTCAGAGTACCTGGTGTCTGCTTTTTACCACCTATCGATAGAATCCTGGTCCCAACAGCTGTTCTTCTAACCCTGCCTAATTAGGGAATAATTGTTTATAATCATCAAGAGACAGGATCTGATTTCGTCAACACTAATGGACATCTCCAGTCTCTTCCGGAAACCAGGGCTCCTGCCCAACTCCTGGCTAAGGGCAAACAGCTACAGAGCGGGAGCCAAGATGTTGTCACATATGGAGCTGGCAGCTCAGGGAGTGCAGTTGGAGAAGTCTGCTGAGGAGATGCGGCAATTCACTGCTGTCCTGCTAAGGGGCTCAAGGCAACTAGCCAGCTGCTGTGTGCCTCGTGACAAGAGCTATTTTTCAGGCCTCCCAGCGAGGCTTTCTTGATTCTCAATAGGCACCATCTGCTGCTTAGGAGAGGGAGCTGAAGTAACTAGAAAGCTCCCATTTGGGATGTGTTCCTCTCACCCAAAAGACAGAATCCAGGCTTCCCAACAAGGTTTTAGTCGCCTGTTCACCAGTCTGACTGTGAAAGTCCCTGTTACAGTCAGGTTTCTGGTTTTCCAGGTCTTGGTTGCCCCTTAATGTCCAAAAGCACCAAAGCACTCGGGAAATGTCCCTGAATTCATTCACTGGTGGAAGGGAAGACGCCAGCTTTTTTGGATAGCTGTGCTGTATTACCATTTAAGGCAAGAAGTGAAGTTTTGTGTGAGGACAGGGAGCAAGGGTTTAATGGGACAGTAGAGCATCTCCCTCTTTGCACAGATAAGTATAGGTAGGTGTCTCCCTCTGTAATGTCAAGCTCTGTCCTTGAAGGAATGCTTTTGTGGGTAATGGGCTTGTCCTAGAGCTTCTCTACCCAGAATTCTCCTTCTCTTTGCCGTTGCCTCTTGGAATTCACTGCGGTAATATGTTCAGAGAGGTGAGCTTATTGGGCCACAGACATCCCAAGAGAAGGTCCTCCAGAGCACTGACTTACTGTAATTCCCACTAAGTGACATCTCTCCCCAAGAGATGATCTGTTTCACAGTCCCATATGAAACCTCTTCTGAAAATGAATTGCTAATCACTATTAGTCTTGGCACTTTTATTCTAAGCAGTTCTTCAGACCCCTGGGTCAGTGCTTGTAAACTCTGCTACTTGGACAACCTGCATTAGAATACATGGGTCCTTGCATAGGCACCACTTCAGACTTAGAATCAGTAAGAATAGGGCGGGAGAGACCCAGGAATTTGTCTTTGAAAAACAAGCTTTCCAGATGATCCTGGTATGCACTTGAGATTGAGAACTGCTGTTCTTAATGACTGCTGTCTTCATTTTAGGTTTCTGCCCTCAACCTCTTCAAGGCAGAGACAGTCTCAGGTTTACTTCTTTCGGTCTTTTTTTCCCTTTCAGTCTTGTGTGTGGTGCTTTGATACCACCTTTGGCTAATTTTGTTGCAGGCACAGTTGCACGGATGTCCCAATTCCTGCCAAACTCGTAGCTTTCTGGGTGTCCGTGCTTCACCTCCCATCCTTCTCAGCTGTTGTTACTTTCCAGAGTTTGCCCTTGAATATCCCTGTGCTGGATTCTTTTCTTCCCTTGTTGAGTCATTTTCATTTTCATCCTGTTTCTAGGCTCTCGTGTCCTTTTGCTATTTCCCTTCTCTGCTTACTGAAGTTAGTCTCTCCAGTTTTAGTATGATTGGAAAGTCAGGAAGAATAAGACTAGGCACATACGTTGTCTTCCCCCATTCCTCTGTCCATTTGAGGCTCCTACGGATCAGATAGGCTACTCTCTGTGATTCAGGGTCTTTCCGTCTGACTCACTAACACTTGAGCCAAGGAGGGCTTTTTGTTCATTTCTGTTTTGTTTTTTAGTTAGGAATTTAGGAATTGCTGAGCTAAAGTTTTGTGTTCCCTCTCCACTTTCATTTTCTAATTGGAACAAGGCACAATATAGTAACAGAAAACTGCAATTAATTTTCTGAAATACTGGCAACTTGCACATTATAATAACTTTGGTTGTAACCAAGTGAAAGCATAATAACAAAAATTAGTGACAAAACCAGAAATAGCCATATACTAAACTGTTCTTCCAGTTTCTATTAGTAATAAGTGCTATTTTACCCTGGAATGGAGGCAGAGTCAGCACCTATGGGTGGGGTGGGGAAATGCTGAGTCCTTTTGAGCTAGAAAACAAGAATAGCACTAGCTGGTTTGGCTCAGTAGATAGAGCATTCGCCTGCAGACAAAAGGGTCCCACTTTCAATTCCCATCAAGGACATATAACTCAGTTACAGACTCCTCCCTGAGGGCCCTAGTTGGGGAGCGTGCAGGAGGCAATCCATGTGTTTCTTTCACATCAATATTCCTCTCTGTGTTTCCCTCTCTCTTTCATTCTTTCTAAAATCAATGGGAAAAAAAATATCCTTGGGTGAGGATTAAAAAACAAAACAAGAAAACAACAACACAAGAATAAGGATTACCGGTAGTACTTTCAGCACAGGAATTAACAGGTGGTATGTACTCATTATCCCAGGTGCATAGAGCATTCCTCTCCCAGGTGGGGGCTGTAGGCATATATAAGTGGTTTAACACGAACCGCAAAGGACCCTGGTTACATAATCCCTGTAGCTCCAAAAGGCACTGGTTGCTTGGATCTCACCAGTGCAGATTTGCTTTTCCTCTCTGCTCATCTTATTGACAGAGTGATAAACAGGACACTTTCTTTGACTTGAGTGGGAGTAGAAGCTCTAGGACAAAGTAGTTTAGCTCTAATTTCTCCTTGAAACAGCTTTGTGCTCTCGAAGACAGCCTCAAATACTGAGAGGTCAATTTGGTTTAAAGCTTTTTCTTTGTGGCTATGCGGTAAAATTGTATTCAAGTGTTGAGCGACTTACCTAGATATATCATTAGTTTAGAGTGGATGTTAGAAAGCCTTTCCCTCATCCCCTTTTTCTTCCTTCCTCTCCCCCTATTTAAGAAAAAAAGAAAAAGAAAAAAAGCCAAAACCAGCTGAAACTAGTTTGGCTCAGTGGCTAGAGCGTCGGCCTGTGGACTGAAGGGTCCCAGGTTCGATTCCGGTCAGGGGCATGTGCATTGGTTGCGGGCACGTCCCCAGTGGGGGGTGTACAGAGGGCGGCTGATCGATGATTCTCTTTCATCGATGTTTCTAACTCTCTATCCCTCTCCCTTCCTCTCTGTGAAAAATCAATAAGATATATTTAAAAAAACAAAACAAAACAAACCGAAACCAGTTTGGCTTAGTGGATAGAGCATCAGCCTGCGGACTGAAAGGCCCCAGGTTCGATTCCAGTCAAGGGCATGTACCTTGGTTTCGGACACATCCCCAGTGGGGGGTGTGTAAGAGGCAGCTGATGGATGATTCTCTCTCGTCGATATTTCTAACTATCTCTCTCTCCTTCTCTGTGGAAAATCAATATATTAAAAAAGAAAAGAAAAAGAAAGTTTTATTGATTTTTAGAAAGGGGAAAGGAGAGAGGGAGAGAGACAGAAACA